TACAAATGGAAAAAAAAATTAAGTTCAACATTTCTAGACCAATATGGCTGTTAATTTTTGTACAATGCCAACTCAACACGGTAAACTGGGATATTTTTTTCTGAAGTTATCTGCAGTCATTTGAACAAAATTGTAGAGACATCCAGCACTCTCCAAAAACCTCTAACCCAATCTAACCATACCTTTAGCTTTAGATTCTAGTGTATAGGAAAATACAGACAATAAAGGAAACAGACAATTGAAATAGTCTATAAGACAGTTATGCATGCTTGTGTGGACACACACAACATATATGCTGTTATTGTGTAATTAAAAGATTTTAAAAATATAAACAAGCAACGTATCTAATCCTGAATTATATGCTGTTTTGGAAACAATGTTTTGGGGGCCATGAAGAAAAGCTGAACACAGACAGGGTAGGAGATGACATTGGAATGCTCATTAACCCTGTTGGGTCTGACAACTGTATTTGTGGCTTCCTAAAGAGAATGTCTAATTCTTTTGGAGTTGCATACTAAATGAAGTATTTGGGGTGAAACGTCGAGATGTCTTTAATTTCCTTTGAAATGTTTCAGCAAGATTGATTGATAGGTTGATAGGTAGGTAGGTAGACGGCTAGGTAAAGCAGCTAGGCAAAATACTCAGGAGTTGTTGAATACAGGGTGGGGATATGGGTGTTCATTTCCCTGTCCCTCCTGCTTCTCTGAATCTCTCCAGTTTTTCATAATGGAGCGTTTTAAATCTTTGTGCACTAATTCTCAGCTTTGGGTTTCCATTCCAGGTACAGTATGTGATTCAAGGATATCACAAAAGAAGGGAGTATATTGCTGCTTTTCTCAGTCACTTTGGCACGTAAGTTCTGCCTTGTTTAGACCATCTATCAACAGTACACTTGGTTCTCACATGTGGTGCCTTCTCCATGACATTCTGGCTTTGGTGCTTACCCTAGAGCTGCCAGGATGACTTAGCTTTTAGCATCCTTTAGCAAATCATAGAACCAAGTATGTTCTCTGAGCATCAGTATGCCTCTCCTAAACATGGCCATCTTGGTGGTGTTCTCTGCAGCCATCTAGGGTATATAGCCTATTTCTTGTGGTGCTTTGGGTAACTTGTACTGCACTTTCATCTCCATTGTCTTCTAGTTGTCTGGAGGTAACCAACAGGGCTTTTTTCCTATGCTTTATAAAAATTCATTTTTAAGTTAGCCTATAAGTAATGGGTTTCATTATGGTCTTTTCCATACACACATCATTCTACTTTATTGTTATTCCTCCTCTAAGTGCCCTACCCATACCCCCTGTCTCTCTTGCTGTTCCCCCTTCTTCCTCCCAAGTAGCCTCCCTGTTTGCTTTCTTGTCACATGTATCCCATTACCCTGTCCTTCCTCATGCTCTCCTCCCTTCTTGTGCTGCTCTTCCCACTTTGATGACCTACACACGCATATTTGAAAGTAGATTCCATGTATGTGAGGAAACATGTGGTATTTGTCTTTTCTGAATCTGCTTTATTTCGCTTAACATAATGATTTCCAGTTTTCTCCAGTTTCCTGCAGGCACTGGGATTCCATTCTCTTTTATGGACAAATGAAATCCCATTGTCTGTGTGTACTGCGTTTTGGTTGTCCGTTCAGCTGATGATGGGCATCACAGATGGTTCAGTTAGGCACATTTTATTGCAGGTGGCCCTGAGACTTGGAAGTTTAGTGATCCAGTGAAGTCTCATATCTAGAGGGGCCAACAAGGCAGGAATCTGATTGCCCCAGGATCCAGGTCTCCTGACAGGAGTAGTGCCTCACAGGTTCGGGAAAGGAATCCTAACATTACACTTGAAAGTGATGAAAGTATACTGAAAGTATACCTGAAAGTATACTGCAGAGAAGGAGTGATAAGATGGTACAAGAGCCAGGTGGGAAGTGTATGACTGCAGGGATAGCATGGAGTAGCTCTTCCCACTGCTGCCCTGTGCATCTGCCCTTCCCCCTGGATGCCAGAAGCCATGCTCTTTACAGCCATTTCTTCTAAATGCTGTCAGGGGCACCAGTGTATTTTCTTCATAGCCTTTAAAGGTAGAGCTCTCCACCCGGGGTTTGGTACAGGAGATTTCAGTGCTCTGCTATGGGCCCCTCCTTATTTCAGAAATGACTGGAAAATAATAGAACTGCAGACGAAACAAAGAGTAAAGCTTTCACACCGTGGCACAGTTATAAGCAAAACTCTGACTCCTGGAAAACTGCCAAACAATTCTCTCATTAACTATTATGGCGTTTTTCATTATCCTAAATAGAAATGTCACTATGGAGCAACATGGCTGTCTTTTACCTAACTCTTTTACCATGGCTAAAATTATTTTCAGCTTTATTGATGAACATTTTGGGAGAGAACTTTTTATACAATAGTGTTAATAAACATTACTGATCTGAATTTTGAGTAGATTATCTTTAGCATATATGATGGAAAACAAAGAAACTAGCACAATGATCTTCAGAATGGGAAGTACACACCCCAAGGGTTACACACATCCATTGGGTTATAAGAAAAATATGAAAAAAGAATTTACAATTGTTTTTGATACCATTCTCCTTTAATAAACACTTTGCATATTTTGTTATGCACATAGAATAATAATATAGTACTACTTTTATGTAGTTACTAAATTACAAATGATTACCACTGTATTACCATATTATATACTTAGGAATAAAAGGCATTATATTTTGGTTTTGCCTCTGAAATATGGGAACTAAAGAGTTCAGACCCCATGGTTACAATATTGGGTTAATTATCCTTTCATAAGCCAACATTGTTGGCTTAAGTCAGATCTGCATGATACACACACCGTCCTTGAGCAGGTCACCTGGTCCTTGGGATCTTAGTTCCTGTATGTTTCCTATAATGTCCCTGTATTAAACTGGGAATCATGAATAGCATTGATCAGTTGAGGAGAGAGATCTCTTCAGAGACTTCAGAGACTCCCTTGTGTGAAGGAGTATTTTCCTGTCCCCGGTGCATGGTTAATATTGTCATACTTTAGTAACAGCATTGTTTACCACTCCATTCTTGTAGGAAATTGGTGAGGTGAACCTACCAGGTTCTGCCAGCCCCCTCAGCAAGCCAGGAACTGTTGTCCCTTGATACCACATCATATTGCCCACTGATGTTGCTGTTTTGTTGGGAAGACAGAAGCCAGGGTACCAATGCAAGAATTCCAGTACAATCCCAAATTATATTGTCAGTGTCACCTCTGTTTAGTCCCTGGGTAAAGTGAGACTTAAGCTCAGGTGACATTTGCTATAGTAATGCCATCTATGACCTGGTTTCATTTTAAATTTTGTTTCATTTTGAGACAGGGTCTTACTTTGTAGCCCAGCCTGGAACTAGGGATACAGACAGGCTGGGCTTGAACTCACAGAGATCCAAAGGTCCACCTGCCCCTGCCTCCCAAGTGCTGGGATAAAAGGCGTATGACATCATGCCCAGTGCCCAGTGGTTTCTTAGATTGCCCCTTCATTCATAACTGGTGACTGATGTTTCCATTTTGTGGTTTATTTTCTTTTTTTCTTTGCAGTCTTGTTAAAAAGCTTACCAATATCATAATTTGCTGCTGGATAAGGAAGCTAAGTCACCACAGGTTAAGAGATTTGAGTGAGATCATGAGCTGTAGGAAATGGCAAGGTCGTGACATGAACCTCAGTACTCTCGTTCCAAACCCTAGACCCTTCTTGATGCACACGGGTGTTAACATCTATCTTCAGTGCAGTCACTTTTTAGATAGAATCTTCACTTACTTGAACCTTATTTTTATAAGAGTCTGTGTGTTTTTTTCCTTAGAGGTGTCGTGGAATATGATGCAGAAGGCTTTACAAAACTTACTCTGCTGCTCATGTGGAAAGATTTTTGTTTCCTTGTACACAGTGAGTATACTCTTACTATGTGCATACACTTAAGAATGTTCTTCTGTAATCATCAGGGTGAGAACTTTTGGCCTTCCAACGTGGCTCTTTTTAATTTAGCATGTGTATATTTATATTGAGGTCATAACAAGGATGTCTCTCTAAGAAACCATTGTTTCTCAGCCACAGAAGACATCTGATAATGTCTGGAAACATTTCTCACTGTCACAAGTGAATGAGAGGTTCGGTGATCAACTAAACCTCTAATGTCCATCTGTCCCAAGACAGCACCTCACAACAGAAAATGATTAGTACAAAATGTCACTATTGTCGGGATACAGTGACCCTACTCCAGACAGATTTCTGTATCCAGTGTCAGGTCTCCACATCCCTGAGAGCAGGCTTGCTTTGATCTTCTGGTCCTTAGTGAGTGACAGTTTTTGACTTTGACTAATAAAAAGTGACACATCCCCAACAGCCCTCCTTGGTGATTTTCCACATTGAGGTCATGTGTAAATGGTTGTTGTACAATCAATCAGTAGTGGGTCAGTGACCACTGGTCCAGCTTTCTCTTGTGGGTGGTTTTCGTCATATTTCTTTGCTGTAGAAGGGCCAATGGCCTGTGGCATCAGGTTTAGGCTGCAAGTCAACTCAGCCCTCCATTCCTTGGCAATGTGGCATATAATGTTTTTACTTAAGTCAATGACCAAGGAGTTCCGTCCTTTCCAGCTTAAGGTAGGACAAAAGCAAAGGGATTGTGCTGGCTTCATTCAGATGCAGAACTTCTTATCTCTCATTAGACCCTATTAGGAAGGGATACTTTGGCCCTGTATAGTCATGGTGTTCAGACAATGTACCGATACTGACTTTGGGTTTTTTTAAGACCCTAAATGTCCATAAGGTGGAGCGACAGCCTCCTTGTGCAACATGATGCGACACACCTCACAGAGGCTGTGGAGAGCTGGCTGTGCATAGGGGATGGATCCTCTTCCTTGCCAGGGTTACCTAGCCATCCCCAGCTTGGATGGTGCTCCACATTGTGCTCCTGCTTGGTAGCTCATTCTACATTAGGGCAATTTTTTTCAAGAATTAAATCTGGAAAAGGCATTTTTGTATTAATTATGTGTATGGGTAAACAGAATTGGAAAGAGAGAGCTCCAGCCTGGGAGTACTTCCAACTACACCTTGTTCAAATCACTGGGTCAAGATTCCTTCTGTTTTAGTTTTTTTGAACATGTGTGGTGGATGGGAAATATCACTATATGGAATTTAGTCCACAGTAAAAAGTATACTAGGAAATGATGCCTCAAAATTACTAGTTTTCTTACCTGGTACCCAGATCCCAGTTGCCGCTTTAATTGATGTGGAAGTATTGCCTGATATGATTGCCCTAGACTAACTCATCCTTGAATGGTGGCGGTAGTGTTGGTTGTCAGATGTCGCCAGAGTGGTTGAGGACACCCCAGTGCTAGGTTGGATGAACACCTCAATAACTCCTTCATCTTGAAGGTCCTAACAGTGCAAACCCTTTTCCTGAAAACTTACTTCTGTTTCCTAGTTGTGGTTTTGTTCAATTGGTGTTAAAGCATATCAGACATAAAGGAAAAAAATGCATTCTTAACATTCTATAGTCCTAATCTTTTTCTCAGCATGCATATGCTCTCAAAAATGGCATATATTAGTCCACCTTTCTGTTGCTAGAACAATGTGCCCAAGGCTAGGTACTTTATAAAGAAGAGTGGTTTGTATAACTTGTGGTTTTGCAAGTCCAGAGTCTTAAGGTTTATTCCAGGCCCCTCGACTGGGTCGCAGCATTGCAGTGACATAGAAAAGAAACTTGCGAGCCGGGCATTGGTGGTGCACGCCTTTAATCCCAGCACTCGGGAGGCAGAGGCAGGTGGATCTCTGTGAGTTCAAGACCAGCCTGGTCTACAAGAGCTAGTTCCAGGATAGCCTCCAAAGCCACAGAGAAACCCTGTCTCGAAAAAACAAAATGAAAAGAAAAGAAACTTGCTGCATTATTCAGAAGGTCTGATGTGTTTTGTGACTTAGCTTCCTGACGATTCGTTCCCATGAGGGTAAGAGTGGCACGAAACCCACCCAACATGGCACCCAGTGTTCTGACTGCTTTTCTGTAGGCCTGACTTCAAAGATTCTGAACATTGGGGATGAAACATCCAGCACAAGAATCCTAGAGGGACAAACCATATCATGCTCTACTAGTTACTAGAGGAAATCATCGCTTGCAGTGAGGTTCTGTCTAAAAGAACACTTGCATGGTGGCTCCTGCCAACTCTTGGTCAGTACCCTCAGTGCTCAGAATAATTGTTACTGCTTTTGAATTTCTTGCAGAATATCGTCTCTCTGATATTGTGCTTCCAGTATTTCTTAATACTCCTTCTCCACCCACCTTCGCTTTTCTGAGTTGTACATTCAAAACTGTCCCCCGCCATATTTTCCCTTAGTTGTGAACTGTCTTCTTCAGAAACAGACTCTGAGGGAGCTCCTTGGAATGGCTGCCTTAAAACCTGGGTTTCATTGGCTGTTTTCCAAAGTGTTTCCCTAAACTGCCATTCCTTTCCTCCCCAGGCTGTTGGTTCCTTGTCCCTTAGTGTCACAGTGTCACAGCCCACACACTGTTGCTCTTCTGGCAGATAAGAGCAATCTGTAAATGAAGGGCCTTTGATGCTGTCTCCTGCTCCCTCCCTAACTCACAGCCTGCTTTTAAACACATCATTTGCATCCTTTTGCCTCTTTCTTATCTAAGACTAGGACCTGGTACAGCACAGTGGAGCTTAGTTAGATAATGTGTTTTCCTCAGTCATATGGTTGCACATCTGACACTTACCTTCCTTTGGAAGCATCTGCTTGCTTGGTTACAACGCCCAGGGGACCATTTGTTCCTCTTTTTTCTCCTACAAAAATGGGGGGAGTGAATATGGGGTGGTAGGGACTTGACAAAGAACACTGCAGTGAATTATTCTGGGATCTCAACATGTGAACGAGGAGGAAGGAAGTGCCTCCAGATAGAGCCAGTCTCCCGTGGGTGGCTCCACAACTTCACGGAGGTTGAAGACCTAGCAGGACATGAACTACCACCTCTGCCCCACTCTCTATCTTTGCATTCTCCCAGCCCAGCAAACCAGTGTCAGTGGGGCAGCTGCTGGTGCTAACTTGGGGATGCCAGAGGAAAGGTGCCCCTCTCTTGTGCCAGATGGAGCTGACCTCAGACTGTTGCAAGAATGCCTCTAAAAGATATGTTATCCGCATTCCCAGCTCCCCAGGCAATGCTGCAGCACTCTGGTATTCTTGTACATCTGAATATGGCTATGCAGCATCCCAGCCGCTCACTCCTTCCTCCCTTCATCCTTGATCAGTATCTGCAGTCACACCACATCAGAAGAAACTGCTTCCTTTTTCCAGAAAGTGTTAGAGAGGTTTCTTGGCCACTATTTGAGAAGTTCTTTGAGTGGTTGAGCAGGTCCATCTGTCTACCAACTTGTTCTTACCTCTGGAGGTAGATGGTACCCACAAGCCAGCAGTTTGTCAGAATGTTGATGGTGAAAGAGCCATATAGCAAGGTATGGTAATGGCACAGAGCACTGGCAGCCCTGAAGAGGCAACTTCCCTTATTTATGGGCCCCAGGCAGCAGCAAGCAGCAGCATGTGGCCTGTGGTGGCAGAGTTAAGATCCAGGGCCTGAAGGTAGAAGTGGGTGGAAGCCATGACTGTGACAAGCTGTCTTTCCCTGGTATCTGTAAACCCCTGTTGATCTGGCCTGGACAATGTGCTGTATCTCCCTAGGAAATGCCTGTTAGCCCCAATCTGTCCATTTTTCTCTTTTTCTCCATTGTTCATAAGGCTAGCTGTGTTAGCATTTTCTCTATGTTCAGTAATACGGTAGGTAGTCTTGGGACAGACATAAATAACTCAGGCTTGATCTTAGGATGCACATAGTAGTATAGCAGAGGAGTTAGAACATTGTAGCCTACAGACCACAGCCTGTTTCCATGTAGTGTGCAAACCAAGAAGAGTGCTCATGTTTTTACAAGGTTGCTAGGAAGAAGAAAAAGAAAGAGAGAAAGGAAAGAGTGTGCAATGGAGATGCTGCATGGTCCACAAAGCCTAAAATCTTTACCATTTGGCCCCTTTTAGAGAAAGTGTGCCAGCCCCAGTCCAGTTGATAAAATCAGGTAAAGGTGAAATACAACAGTGTTTATGACTCACCTATTGTATGTCGGTGATTTAGAAAATAAAGTGATGCTTGTAAGGCTCCCATGAGTGCATGCATTTGAAATGGGCACCAGTACCATGATGGCACAGAGTTGAGTCCTTGGAAGCAGTCTTTGAGTGTGGTTAGAATGATCTCTCCTGGAGGTGGCATTTCTCTCAAGACATTAGAGGGTAGGCCATTTGAAAGCCAAGGAAGAAGCCTGCTGGGGAAGGAGATTCTTCAGACACCCCCAGGCAGCCAAGAACTTGAACCTCTAGACTGGAGCACAATGGGGGATGTGTTTGGGGTTCTTTTGTGGTTGCTGTTTCTTAGATACTTTCTTAGTAGTTTGTTGTCAAGGTTTTCTGTGCATCTTTGGCTTAACACAGTCTACCTGAGGTTAATAATGACTTAATGCTAGTAGGATGTAGTAGCTTTGCTTCCCCATGTTGTTTGTGCTAGTAATTGCCCCATGTGTTATATGAGTACATGTTAACTGTAAGCACATTATAGATGTCTGTGGTTGCTGTAATAGTCTCATTTATGAAAGCAAAGAGCCAGTGTCCTCATTGGGCATAGTTGTGTCTTCTCATGGGACTTGGGCTGCTCTGACTCTACTGCAGAGTTGTCATGGGGGATACAGGTACATAGTTGGTTCATTGGGTCTAAAGAATGACTTTCTTGCTCCAATTTCTTTCTTATTTCTTCCTTCTTTTCTTCCTTCTTTCCTTTCTTCCTTCTTAATGATAAGACTCATCAACTGTCTTCTCTGTGTGTCTCTATTTCCCACTTTTACATTAATTCTTCT